AGCGTGGGTACTCTAAACGATTTTTACGAAACATAAAAAATTCCACCTTAGCACAGATAGCAGCTAAAAACAGACTTTATGCCGAAGTACCTCCAGGTTTAAGAAGTGCTCCATGTTTGTCCAGTAGATGCAAAACATGTCCCTTTATATCAGAAACTCATTATTTTGTAAGCAACTCTACGAATAAAAGGTACCCTTTGATGTCCCGTTTAATACAACCAACAATCGAGCAAGCAAGATAGTTCATGCCCACTATAAGAGCCTTCAAGAGAAATTCCCTCATGTCTATAAGCAGAAAATGATAGTTGCATATTCAAAAAATAAGATCTTAAATGATAATATTGTTCATAGTAAACTAAAAACAATCAGTACATAACAGATACTATACTTCTCGCCAGTAACTCCTGGTTCTATCAGCCTCACTTTGAGTAGTATAAACCTTTCCAATCTTCAACACACCTAATTTAATTGCAGTTTCTCTACTAAGTAATGGTTCTCCCTTTCCACCTATCACAATAAATTCCTCTTCTTTAATCTGCTTCTCATCTAATTTCACATTGTCATAAAATTTATCCAATACTTTCAATGGTTCCTCTGATCCATATACATATAATTTTATATCAGTTTTCTCAGAATACCAGCGAATATCAAGTTCTTTTTCTTTTGTTTTGAGAAATTCCCATGAATCTCTTCCCAAACAATCAGCAGATGATCCAGAATCAATGATGAATCTTAATGGTACACCATTTAATAGTACTTTCACTTTACCTTTATTATCGTGTTTTCCAATAGCCTGAATTCTAAAAGCTTCGTTGTACTTTTCATCATCATAACTTCAATGTCTTCTGTCGTCTTTTCCAACCATTTTTGTTTTCTTTGAGTATGAACCTTTTGATCGCCCTCTATCAATCTTAGTTTTACACATCTTTTGAAAATGTCCTTTCAATTTACACTTTCTACATTGTTTATCAGCAGCAGGGCACTTTGGATCAGTATGAAAATGTCCAGAATAACCACATCTATAACATTCTTGTGACGAAACACCTCCTGGTTTTCTCTGAAATCTACCTTTCCGTTCCGTTTTCTTGTTTTTCTGGTCGTCGAATCGACATTTTATTTACATCATGACTCAATCATTCAATTGATTTAGCTTGTCTCTCAGATTCTTCAAATGCTCTAGCCATTTCTAATGTTGTATTCAATGTTAACTGTGACCCTTTTTCTAGCAGTTTTCTTCTTAAGTCAGTTGATCTACATTTCTGGATGATTTGATCTCGTAATTCACTCTCAACATCACCAAATTCACATCCTTCTAAATTTTGACGCAACCTCATTGCAAATTGTTCTACTGATTCATTTTCTGTTTGACTCATTTCTCGAAATATGTGACGTTGAAATGGTACATTTGATTCAGGACAAAAATATTGATATAAGGCTCTTTTGGCTCTGTCAAAAGGATCATTTATATTTTGGTCTTCAGTCAGTGTGAAATAAATTTCTTGGACATCCATTCCAGCAGTATGAAGAAGAAGAGCACGTTTTCTATCTGCATTCAACTGTCCTTTTGAAGCAATATACAGGTCAAATGCTCTTACCCCTTTTCGGCACTGTTGCAGTTTCGACCCCTTTTCCTTCCAGTTGAGCTATCGATTTGAAACTTGGCAGAGGGGTACTTATATATATCTTGAATATTCACAGCAAATTTCAGACAGTTCCAACGTTTCCTTCAATCTTAAATTAATTTTCAAAGTGATGTACTGACTGAAATTTTGGCACTGTTGCAGTTTTGGTCTTTTTCCACAGTCAAAATGGGGTAAACCACTTGTTATTTCAGGAAAAGTAGCAGCCATATAATTCTATTCGTCGCCAATTTGTAGAGGTTGATGTCCAACCCATCTAAGGAGTATTGGCAGTTTTAACTATTGTATTTGTAATTCTAATATTTATTCAGCCATTGTACTGGTACACTTTTTAGAACTCCCCTAACAAAGAGTTCCCTTATATGATCCAGATAACAAATAATCATACACTACAATGCCTTGGACAGGTTTAAGGTTCGATCGATAAATATGTTTACTGTGACGGCTTGATTGAATCTCCAGTCGCCCAGTGGCATAGTCACCTTCAATCCCCACGAAGTCAGTCTTGTCCCTATTTTAACCTATATTTGTACTTTGGGAGACTGGCACAGACACTGTAACTCCTAGTTAGCTAAGTTGCTAAACTCTCACTTCTGTTTACTACGGCTTCGTGCAGTTTTAGATTAAAAAGTATGGATTGATTAAATGAAAATTGGGGAATATTTGTATACAGCAATGAACCATGCATTCTTTTAAAAAAAAGTTAAATTCAAAGGAACAGAAACCTTGACAGTTATCATGAATTAGAAATGAAATGAAGTGTGAATGGAGTTTTACGTCCTACTTTTCATGACATGTCATGAATAAGAGATATGTACTTGTAATTATAATTGTGAGCGGCTAGTGATGGCCTCTTCCCATCTAAAACTAGTGCAGTTGAAGAAAAATATTCATCTCTTGTTATTACCAAATTTATCGGAATTCTAGTTTCGATTTTTATGTGTTTTTTATGAGGTCATTTCTGAAAATTCGTTAAGACCATTACACCCACCGGTTTCGAAGGTCAAGAGTGACTAACGGTGGGTAGCTAAATAACCGTATACAAGAGATAAATTAACTGTGATCTGAAGCATTGTGTCTAGATTGTATACTAGTAAAGGGAGATAATTACTCTTCTGCTTAGGAGACTCATTCAGTATCTTCTGATTTAAAAAAAATAGACCTTTTCTGGGAATTTACTGTTTTATTTCTCTCTCCACAGGTAAATAGTCGGTTTCATTTATCTTAATTCTATATCAGATTGTTTACTAACTATCCATGTTCATGTTCAAAATAGAAATAATTGTTGACAGTTCTTGTTATGTGAAAAATATCCAAACTATCGCGTGTAGAATTTGGATTTATCGTATGACATGAAGGTAATAATAATAATAATAATACTTACTCTTTATTAGGGTACCGTAAGAAATTAGTCTAAATTAAGTTTCCACTCATGAATATGAGTGAGTAGTCAATCTGTATAGCCTACTATGCCCTGTAAATTTCAGCTTTCTGGAAAGCATTTAAAATTGATTGTCCCTACGGTCCCATTGGAAGGAAATGAACAAGATTTGGGTGATGTACAGTGGTATAACCTATAGGCCTATGTGTGTATATAAGGATTCAGTATGAATCTCCCCACTTTGACCCATATTTCATGAGTAACCAACTCGACAACGGCAGTTTTACCTATTTTCATGTACAATGTTTGATATATAAATAAGTCGAGAAAAATTCAACCGATAAAAAATGGTGACGTTTGGTACGGTACCGTAATAACTGAAATCCGCCATTTTGTATTTGTCAAAGTATACATTAATACATTTTACCTTGCTTGAAACTACTGGATAACCCATGTTTATCAAAACAAGCAAATGCAGAGGTCATGCGAGGTTGCACCTGTAAATTGTTAATCATTTCTGGAAATGCACGAAAAGTAGGTTAGCACGAAAATAGGTTTCTTGACTGTCTAATTAACTTTTCTTAGTATTTATCTTTAATAGGGATTTATTAGAACTGATGTTCCTTCAAAGAACAATAATTTAAAAAATATTAGTGACTGACAAAATATAAGATAAGTACAATGTAAGAGTGGTTTATTGCTAAAAGTCATTGAAACTTCATAAGAATATGGCCCACATTGTAATCCATAGTCACGCGTGACGTCGTTCACTTGAATATATTCTAGCAGACGACACTTGGAAATCCGCTTACAGCTTGGGATTATAATTAAAACAGGGTTCGCACAGCCTTGAAAAACCCTTGAATTCCGTCCGTTGCCTTGAAAAACCTTGATTTAAAAAAAAAGTCTTTGAAAACACCATAAAAAACCCATTTTCTCTCAAAGTCCTTGAATTTTGAGTTGAGTCAAATTGTGTATATTTTTATCATTAACCCCATTGACAAATATTAACTATCTTTATTGATTTCACAGTTCAGAAGTAAGGTACATGTGTATTCTGTCAGACTAATATCCTTGAAAAGTCCTTGAATTTCAAAGCCCAGAGTCCTTGAAAAATCTTTGAATTTTTGAGGCAAAGTGCAGTATGAACCCTGTATAAGGAAATTTGGCGGAAATACATTTGCTTACTGGATTCATTCTACTAGCTGACAGTGTGCAGACAACCCATGTCTATCAAAAAAAGCAAATGTGGCATGCAAGGTCGCACATGTGAATTATTAATCATTTCTGTGGAGATGCACGAAAAGTAGGTTAGCAGGAAATTAGGTTATTCGACTGTAATTATGCAAATGTTGATGTAAATAATTTCTTTTTGATATTTTGTTCACTTTCAGTAATTTGGATTTTATGAATATTTCAGCTTTTCATGCTACCATACTGAAGGGATAAAAAATTTAGTTTGATTTGATGCTATTTTGAAAGGGTCGTCTATGGTCTAGTCTACCTAAAATTTTAGTTTTCACCACTTGGTGTTGTTGGTTTGAGTCTTTCTATTCCATAAGCTTACTCCAGAACAAATCAATGATGTGTTGAGGCCTTTGAGCCATAAAGAATTTGCGGATGTAAGAGACAGTTGTCTCCCTTTCGAAAATTCAGTTTGGATGAAAATCAGATTAGAAATAATTTAGTAGAGGAGGGTGACTCAAGTGAAGGCAGCGATAATGCATCCTATCGAAGTGATGAAGAATTAGAATCAATGTTGCTATTATGAATTACATAGTTATTGGCAGCTCTAATGAAGAAAATTATGTTTTTGCACATGCAACATTCACACCAGAAAACGATTTTGATTGGTAGCCTATAGTATGTAAGCCAAAAATTGAGATGGATTGGAGATTAAAACACCTTATACCCTAGTCTGTATTATACCTCATGAGTCATGATGGATATACTTATATACCACGCAAACCAGTTTATTTATAATGTAGAAGATGAAGGCATTCCATCCAGACTGTTTAAAATTTGACCTGTTGTTGACATTCTGAATAAGAAATTAAAATCAGCTTACACACCATCACATGATATTGCGATTGATGAATCACACATGAAGTTTTATGTTAGACTTGGATTCAAACAATACTATTAAATCTGCAAGATTTGGTATAAAGTTTTTAGATTGAACCAAGCGAAGGTTCCTGCATTCGGATGTACCTGGAAGTTGAAGATATAAACCGGACATGACAGAGATTCAAGTAACTTTCTAACTAGTGCCAAAGTGGTTTATGGATCTCAGTAATGGTCGATCTGGATTTGGATACAACATTTATGTTGCTGCAATGGCCCTGATCTCTTCACTTAGTTGATTACACAGAAAACAAACATGCATATGGGTGGAACTGTTGGTTTAAGTCGTAAAAACATACTAAGAAACTAAAAACTATTTTGCTCATACTGAGAAAAACATCCATGATTTCCCAAACTAGGGCAGATATTTGAATTCTGTTCTTTTTTTTACATATTAAGTACCGGTATTGTTGAGAGAGTCAAATTGGATTTTTATGCGCCTACATGAAATGTGGAGCGTATATATTGGTGTCAACCATGTTGGTCCGTCTACAATTGTTCGTAAACATTCTACAAGGCACAATTCTTGACAGAAATTTGATTAAATTGTTTATTTTAATCCAAAGGGAGAACCCTATCGAAAGTCAAAGGACTTGAAAAATATAGAATCAAAGAATTGAAAAGCGTTCAATTTTATAAGGCACAATTCTCAACAGATTTTAAAAAATTGTAACTTAATGAAATTGTTTATTATCACCCAAGGATGACACAAAATCGAAATAAATATTATATGGGTTTAGGCACTTGTTTTTAAAAACACTTTGAATTTTTTTGCTTGTAAACACTCAAGAAGGCACAATTCTGGACGGATTCAGAGGAAACTTGCATGAACAAATATAACGAACGAATATATTTGTTTTCTGTTAACCGCAGACGACAAACATAATTCCACAGACGACGAACATTTAGCTCGAACTATACGCCAGTGCCACGGAAAATCACATGACCTCAAAATGGCGTCCTCCAGAAGAAAATGTAAAAGTGCGTTAGCTATTTTATTAATTTTAAAAAGACGGCAACGTATACGGCGAAATAGGAGCATTTGGGTCCGTACCTTGATTCAACGTCGTAAAGAGCAGGATGTGTTCGACAACTTTGTAAATTTACCGGTTGTTTCCAGGGCTTGTGCTATTTCTTGCATCGCAGCATACTTCTTGTTCCTATCTGAATAGTCGGGCAAAGAAATCATAAACAAACAGGCAGATTGCAACCACATATCTACTAAAATCTGCTCCTTCTCCACAGTGTCATGTGGTCTGGCTTCGATTGCTGATTGGTCTTTCGTCGATGAATGTTCGGCGCTAATGTTCTTTGTTAACGCAGACGGCGAACAAAGAAATTGTTCAGGAGGCGAACAATTTTAAAAAATCAAACGTTTAATTTCACGAACAATTCTCACGAACATTTTTGTTTGTGTTCCTGTAATCTGCAGACGGTATTGATTGAAGCAACATTTTTACGATGGTCGCTTAAAATGTTCCTCGTCTGCGTCGAGCTTTATTATTCTCATTGGATGGTATTTGATTTCAAGTTTGATTATTTCTTCCATTGGTTTGTCAACATTTCTCCTGAGCAGTATATAGACTTTAGTTTTTATCTGATATAAATGAAACTTGGTGTGACCATTTATATTGTTCAGATCTTTGACAAGTTTGATTTTGATTTTTTTTCTTGTTTAAAGGTTTTTGAGTTATTGCCCTGGACTTAATTCAAAACATGTCAAAATTTTTTAGTGAGTTCAAAGGAGACTACAGTTTTGATCCCATTTTAATGAAATTTGGTGTGATCATTTATCATGATAAGGTCTTGGTCATTACATTTTGACAATTTTTTCGATAAATGGATTTTGAGTTATTGGTTTATTTGATTCGGGGGCACAATAGAAGCTCCAATTTTAGATTGATGAAATATGGTGTGATAATATAACCGTTTTAAAGTTATTGCCCTTGACTTAGTTAAAACTTGTCAAAATTGTTTAGTTTCTACAATAAAAACAAAAGATTTCAAACAATTTGGATGAAAATTGGTCTGAATATAATGAGATATTGGATAATTTCAAATTTGATTTTTTGGTGAACCATTTATGAGTTACTGCTCTTGATTTGGTAAAAAGAGTGTCAAAATTTGTTTGTTTGCACAATGGAAACTACAATTTTGAATTGATTGCACCTTGGGGTGATCATTTGAATTGAAGTTCTTGAGTAAGGAAATGATTACTCTTGCAATGCACATTTTCTGAGTTAATGTGCTAATTAAGAGTTATTGCCCTAGATTTGATGATAACTATGAAGTCATTATGAACATCTTAAAGTGGCATTCTAAATTTATCTATGTATCTACTTGATCAAGCTGGGTTAGTTAAAAACAGGGAGTACTAATTGTTAATTAAGCAGTTTGACCTAGTTTTGGTAATTGGCTTTATAATGGCTTGTTATATTCAGTTATCAGATACGTTATAGGATACATTTCACAAATTTGAGCAAAAAATTTTAACGACCCACAACAAGGCAGAATGTCCTTTTAGATATGAAAAAAGAGGGTGTATGTTTCCATGTTTGGCATGCTAACTTTGCCACGAATAAAAAAATATTTAAACTAGGAATCTTTCTACTACCTGGTTTTTGGCCAATCAATGAATAAGGAGAAAAGATAAAGATTAGATTATTGAACTTTGTATATGAACCAATGAAACATAGTGACAAGCAGGTTACTGTATCAAAGGCTCAATGATATCTGACTTGTAAACACTTGATAAATCAATTACCACCAAACATGGTGATATGAGTAATGGTCTACTGTAATGATGTCGGACTCTTAATCGCTTGATAAATCCAGATTGATTGCCACTGGCTACTGCATCAAAGGTTCAATGATATCAAACTCTTAAGCACTTGATAAATCTAGACTTATGGCAACTGGCTTCTGAATCAAAGGTTCAATGATGTCGGACTCATAAAAACTTGATATATACAGTCTAACTATTGACACCTGCTTTAATTGAATTAAAATGTTTATTTTCAGCCGTCAGGTCTGCGGGAACTCAATAGCTGTCTTTACTATTGGGTTTGACATACACCACACACAGTTAGATGATCAACGTAGCACGGTCAGTATACAAAGTTTATAAATTCCACTTTTGCGTCACAAATGTCTATCAGTCTGTGAAAACTTCAGAAGGCAAGTTGACAAAACTTGGTGTGTTTATTATCTTTTATGGATGGACACTATTGAAGATCAAGTTATTGCCCTTGTGTTCGAAGTGTTCAATTGTAGCTTGTAAGTACTTAAGAGAACAGATTTATACCAAATTGTCAATATTTGACAGACAAA